CAAGTCTCTTCTTCATCTGTGAGGAGATTGTCCAGCATTCACTGCCATATAGGAGGACTGATATTATATAACCGTTCAGCACCCTTTTCTTTTGTTTCTGTTGTCTCAAGTCTCTTCTTCATCTGTGAGGAGATTGTCCATCATTCACTGCCATATAGGAGGACTGATATTATATAACCGTTCAGCACCCTTTTCTTTGTTTCGGTTGCCTCAAGTCTCTTCTTCATCTGTGAGGAGATTGTCCATCATTCGCTGCCATATAGGTGGACTGATATTATATAACCGTTCAGCACCCTTTTCTTTGTTTCTGTTGTCTCAAGTCTCTTCTTCATCTGTGAGGAGATTGTCCAGCATTCACTGCCATATAGGAGGACTGATATTATATAACCGTTCAGCACCCTTTTCTTTGTTTCTGTTGTCTCAAGTCTCTTCTTCATCTGTGAGGAGATTGTCCAGCATTCACTGCCATATAGGAGGACTGATATTATATAACCGTTCAGCACCCTTTTCTTTTTATATAACCGTTTCTTTCTTGCCTCAAGTCTCTTCTTCATCTGTGAGGAGATTGTCCATATATTCACTGCCATATTTGGAGGACTGATATTATATAACCGTTCAGGACTGATATTTTTCTTTGTTTCTGTTGTTTCTCAAGTCTCTTCTTCATCTGTGAGGAGATTGTCCAGCATTCACTGCCATATAGGAGGACTGATATTATATAACCGTTCAGCACCCTTTTTCTTTGTTTCTGTTGCCTCAAGTCTCTTCTTCATCTGTGAGGAGATTGTCCAGCATTCACTGCCATATAGGAGGACTGATATTATATAACCGTTCAGCACCCTTTTCTTTGTTTCTGTTGCCTCAAGTCTCTTCTTCATCTGTGAGGAGATTGTCCAGCATTCACTGCCATATAGGAGGACTGATATTATATAACCATTCAGCACTCTTTTCTTTGTTTCTGTTGCCTCAAGTCTCTTCTTCATCTGTGAGGAGATTGTCCAGCATTCACTGCCATATAGGAGGACTGATATTATATAACCGTTCAGCACCCTTTTCTTTGTTTCTGTTGCCTCAAGTCTCTTCTTCATCTGTGAGGAGATTGTCCAGCATTCACTGCCATATAGGAGGACTGATATTATATAACCGTTCAGCACCCTTTTCTTTGTTTCTGTTGCCTCAAGTCTCTTCTTCATCTGTGAGGAGATTGTCCAGCATTCACTGCCATATAGGAGGACTGATATTATATAACCGTTCAGCACCCTTTTCTTTGTTTCTGTTGCCTCAAGTCTCTTCTTCATCTGTGAGGAGATTGTCCATCATTCACTGCCATATAGGAGGACTGATATTATATAACCGTTCAGCACCCTTTTCTTTGTTTCTGTTGCCTCAAGTCTCTTCTTCATCTGTGGAGGAGTTCATTGTCCAGCATTCACTGCCATATAGGAGGACTGATATTATATAACCGTTCAGCACCCTTTTCTTTGTTTCTGTTGCCTCAAGTCTCTTCTTCATCTGTGAGGAGATTGTCCAGCATTCACTGCCATATTATAACCGTTCAGCACCCTTTTCTTTTGTTTCTGGAGGACTGATTCATTATATAACCGTTCATAACCGTTCACCCTTTTCTTTGTTTCTGTTGCCTCAAGTCTCTTCTTCATCTGTGAGGAGATTGTCCAGCATTCACTGCCATATAGGAGGACTGATATTATATAACCGTTCAGCACCCTTTTCTTTGTTTCTGTTGCCTCAAGTCTCTTCTTCATCTGTGAGGAGATTGTCCAGCATTCACTGCCATATAGGAGGACTGATATTATATAACCGTTCAGCACCCTTTTCTTTGTTTCTGTTGCCTCAAGTCTCTTCTTCATCTGTGAGGAGATTGTCCAGCATTCACTGCCATATAGGAGGACTGATATTATATAACCGTTCAGCACCCTTTTCTTTGTTTCTGTTGCCTCAAGTCTCTTCTTCATCTGTGAGGAGATTGTCCAGCATTCACTGCCATATAGGAGGACTGATATTATATAACCGTTCAGCACCCTTTTCTTTGTTTCTGTTGCCTCAAGTCTCTTCTTCATCTGTGAGGAGATTGTCCAGCATTCACTGCCATATAGGAGGACTGATATTATATAACCATTCAGCACCCTTTTCTTTGTTTCTGTTGCCTCAAGTCTCTTCTTCATCTGTGAGGAGATTGTCCAGCATTCACTGCCATATAGGAGGACTGATATTATATAACCGTTCAGCACCCTTTTCTTTGTTTCTGTTGCCTCAAGTCTCTTCTTCATCTTTGAGGAGATTGTCCAGCATTCACTGCCATATAGGAGGACTGATATTATATAACCGTTCAGCACCCTTTTCTTTGTTTCTGTTGCCTCAAGTCTCTTCTTCATCTGTGAGGAGATTGTCCAGCATTCACTGCCATATAGGAGGACTGATATTATATAACCGTTCAGCACCTTTTCTTTGTTTCTCAAGTTGCCTCAAGTCTCTTCTTCATCTGTTTCTGTTGCCTCAGGAGATTGTCCAGCATTCACTGCCATATAGGAGGACTGATATTATATAACCGTTCAGCACTCTTTTCTTTGTTTCTGTTGCCTCAAGTCTCTTCTTCATCTGTGAGGAGATTGTCCAGCATTCACTGCCATATAGGAGGACTGATATTATATAACCGTTCAGCACTCTTTTCTTTGTTTCTGTTGCCTCAAGTCTCTTCTTCATCTGTGAGGAGGATTGTCCAGCATTCACTGCCATATAGGAGGACTGATATTATATAACCGTTCAGCACCCTTTTCTTTGTTTCTGTGTTGCCTCATCTGTGGGGAGTCTCTTCTTCATCTGTTTGTTGACTCAGTCTCTTCTTCATCTGAGATTGTCCAGCATTCACTGCCATATAGGAGGACTGATATTATATAACCGTTCAGCACCCTTTTCTTTTGTTTCTGTTGCCTCAAGTCTCTTCTTCATCTGTGAGGGAGATTGTCCAGCATTCACTGCCATATAGGAGGACTGATATTATATAACCGTTCAGCACTCTTTTCTTTGTTTCTGTTGCCTCAAGTCTCTTCTTCATCTGTGAGAGATTTGTCTCAGCATTCACTGCCATATATATAGGAGGACTGATATTATATAACCGTTCAGCACCCTTTTCTTTGTTTCTGTTGCCTCAAGTCTCTTCTTCATCTGTGAGGAGATTGTCCAGCATTCACTGCCATATTGCCTTCTCTTCTGATATTATATAACCGTTCAGCACTGATGTTTTTCTTTGTTTCTTTGCCTCAAGTCTCTTCTTCATCTGTGAGGAAATTGTCCAGCATTCACTGCCATATATTCGGACTGATATTATATAACCGTTCAGCACTCTTTTCTTTGTTTCTGTTGCCTCAAGTCTCTTCTTCATCTGTGAGGAGATTGTCCAGCATTCACTGCCATATAGGAGGACTGATATTATATAACCGTTCAGCAGCCTTTTCTTTGTTTCTGTTGCCTCAAGTCTCTACTTCATCTGTGAGGAGATTGTCCAGCATTCACTGCCATATAGGGAGGACTGATATTATATAACCGTTCAGCAGCCTTTTCTTTGTTTCTGTTGCCTCAAGTCTCTTCTTCATCTGTGAGGAAAGCTTTCACTGCCATATTCTTTAATAACCGTTCTGCACTCTGTTTCTATTTGGTCTCTACTTCATCTGTGAGGATTATCCAATTCACCATATTTATTATATCTATGACATTCGTAGCATATTTTCTTTTATTTCTTGCCTCAAATCTCTTCTTCATCTGCAAGAAAATTGTCAAGTATACACTAAGAGATTAGATATTTCATTGTTTCTGTTGTCGATACACTATCCATCCAAGTGATAAGATTATAAGTTTGTTTCGTATTATATATGTTTCTTCCAGTTTGTTTTTATATTCAAACAAAACTCAATGCACAAATACTCGAGTTTTCTCATGCATGCACACCATTAAGAAACTTCCGGTGTCGTTGTATAACGTACGAAACTTCCGGCCGGCGACACTTAGGTTTCCATTTGTCGTCAATGTTATAATTATTTATTTTCTTTGGTGAGTTTATTATTTTTATTTATCACATCAAGCAAATGTTTCTCTCTGCATTTGTCTTCATTAACATACCTACCTACCTACCTACCTACCTACCTATCTATCTATCGATCGATCGATCGTGATCTGTTTGTCTCTATCTATCTATTTTAGTCTGTTCATATCTATCTATCGTGATCTGTTTATATCTATCTATCTATCTATCTATCTATCTATCTATCTATCTATCTATCTATATTGATCTGTTTCTATCAATCTATCTAAGACTGTTCATATCTATCTATCTTGATCTGTTTCTTTCTTTCTATCTATCTATCTATCTATCTATCTATCTATCTATCTATCTCTATCTGTCTTTTCTATCTTGATCTCTATCTATCTATCTATCTATCTATCTATCTCAATCCATCTCTCTTTCTATAATTATATATATATATATGTGTGTGTGTGTGTATGTGTGTGTGTGTGTTTTAAACAATAAAAATATTTTTAAAAAAATTGAAATTTTCAAACACACTAGTTTGTATATAAATATGTTTTGCTTTATTGTTTCCAAGAGGTTTCACGACTAGTTCCGACCAGCATGGCCATCATCAGGAGTGAATGACTATTTATGAAGAAAGTGAACTTTATTACTAGTTTTCATTTGTTTTTGTTTTTATCATTAATTTTGGTTAGTCCTTGTGTTGGTCAAAGGGCTTCTTTAAAGTTGTTTTTAAGATAGAGGATGGGAGATTGCTCTCTTTCAAAATGCCCTCTTTGGTCATTTTGACAGTTTTATTCGATGCTGGTAATGTAATGTGTGCGTTATTTGTTGCTGATAAAGTAATGTCTATGTTATTTTTAGTTCTTCGGGAGCATTCGTGATGTGTGTATGTGTATATATTTGTGTGAGTGTGTGTGTATAAGCAAGCGTGTCTGTCTTGTGTGGGCGAGAAATGTCGGTAGGACTTGAATTTTGGGGTTATATGATAGTTCTATGTTGTTAAATTTGTTTTTAAGCCCGTTTTGAGGCGCGAAATGTCTCTCTCTCTCTCTCTCTCTCTCTCTCTCTCTCTTACTATATATATATATATATATATATATATATATATATTTATCCGCTCATCTTATCTACCTATATGGCAATCTATACATATATCTCTGTCAGTTTACAGATCTATTATCTATGTACCTTTCTATGTATCTCACTCTATCCACCTCTCAACCTCTCGCTATTGTTTTATCTATCTATCAATCATATATATATATATATATATATATATATATATATATATATATATAGAGAGAGAGAGAGAGATGATAGATACGGATATATATATATATATATATATATATATATATATATATATATATATATATATATATATATTTATTTATCTATCTATCTCAGTCTTTTAATTTTCATCTCCTCTGTCTAATATATCTATCCATCAAACTATTTTTTCTTTCGTTATTACTCATTCCGTACATTATCTATCTATCTATCTATCTATCTATCTATCTATCTATCTATCTATCTATCTATCTATCTATTTCAGTCTCTTCAATATCTATCTATCTATCTATCTATCTATCTATCTATCTATCTATCTCTCAGTCTCTTCACCCTCTATCTATCTATCTATCTATCTATCTATCTATCTATCTATCTATCTATCTTCTCTTCATATATATCTATCTATCTTCTCTTCATATCTATCTATCTATCTATCTATCTATCTATCTATCTATCTATCTATCTATCTATTTCAGTCTCTTCAATATCTATCTATCTATCTATCTATCTATCTATCTATCTCTCTCTCTCTCTCTCTCTCTATATAATATATATATATATATATATATATATATATATATATATATATATATATTTAAATAGTCTGATACAAATCTCTTCGATGTAATATAAATCCTTTCTTTAATCCTTTCTATCGGTCAATTTGGTTGCGGAATTAGAGACTCTAGATTGAGCCTGGAAGCCCTCGTCCGAGTCCGAAGCAATTTCAATATATTCAAAGGAAATGGCAAATCTAATTCCTCGTTTATATCTGAAGAACTACTTATCGAAGAGCCCGTTTATCTTCCGAACTTTCTTCTCAAAGGAAAACAACAAAGTATCAACTGAACATAAATTCATTTTTGTCACAAGCCAATTTTCATTGAATTCGTCACCCTTTCATTCAAATTAATTTATCTTGTCGACAAGGAAAACGGTTTGATGCGAGCGACATGTTCCGTCTGTAATCGATTGTAGAATTTCATTCTCTGCCCAAGGTCGTAATTAAGCTTTTGCTAAAGCCATCTCTCCTTAACTTTCTACTGCTTTCTTTCTCACTTATTCTTTCTTTCTTTCTTTCTTTCTTTCTTTCTTTCTTTCTTTCTTTCTTTCTGTCTTTTTAATATATCCCTATCTAGCTTTCTTATTTTCTCTTTGTAACTCTTTTTTACTCTCTCTCTCTCTCTACTTCATATCGCTCCTTTACCGTCTTTCTCTCTCTTTTAATACTCCCCTCTCCTATTTCTTTCTCTTTCTCGATCATATCTCTTTTTTTCCTTTCTATCTTTCTCTCTCTTTTAATATCTTCTTATCTAACTTTTTCCTCCATTCTTTCTCACTCTTTGTTTGTCTCTTTCTTTCTTTCTTTTTTCTTTCTTTCTTTCTTTCTTTCTTTCTTTCTTTCTTCCATTTTTCTTCTTTCTTTCTTTCTTTCTTTCTTTTTTTCTTTCTGTCTTTGTAATATATCCCTATCTAGCTTTCTTATTTTATCTTTGTCACTATTTTTTACTCTCTCTCTTTACTTCATATCGCTCCTTTTCCGTCTTTCTCTCTCTCTTAATATCCCCCTCTCCTACTTTCTTTCTCTCTCTCTCTCTCTCACTCTTTCTCTCTTTCGTTCATATCTTTTTTTTTCCTTTCTTTCTCTCTCTTTTAATATCTTCTTATTTACCTTTTTCCTCCATTCTTTCTCACTCTTTGTTTGTCTGTTTCTTTCTTTCTTTCCTTTTTTCTTTCTTTCTTTCTTTCATCCATTTTTCTTTCTTTCTTTCTTTCTTTTTTCTTTCTGTCTTTTTAATATATCCCTATCAAGCTTTCTTATTTTCTCTTTGTCACTCTCTTTTACTCTCTCTCTCTCTCTACGTCATACCGCTCTGTTCTGTCTTTCTCTCTCTTTTAATATCCCCCTCTCCTACATTCTTTCTCTCTCTCTCACTCTTTCTCTCTCTCGTTCATAAATCTTTTTTTCCTTTCTATTTTTCTCTCTCTTTTAATATCTTCTTATCTAACTTTTCCCCCATTCTTTCTCATTCTTTGTTTGTCTCTTTCTTTCTTTCTTTCTTTCTTTCTTTCTTTCTTTCTTTTTCATATCTCTCCTATTCTTTCTCTCTCTCTCTTTTAATCTATCCCTATCTAGTTTCCTTCTCTCTTAATCACATTTTTTTTACTCCATCTCTCTTCACCTCTTTCTTTTTCCCACCTTTCTCTCTCTTTTAATATCGCCCTGTCTATATTTCTCCTACTTTCTTTCTCTCTCACGCGCACACACAGTCTCTCTCTCTCTCTCTCTCTGTCTCTTGCTTCAGATCTCTCTTTTCATCTCTAGCGTTCTCTTTTAATATCTTCTCATCTAACCTTCTCCTCCTTTCTTTCCCGTGCTTTCTTTCTTTCTTTCTTTCTTTTTCATTTTGATCTTTCTTTCTCTTTTAATACATACCTATTTAGCTTTCTTCTCTCTTAATCACTCTTTTCCATCTCTCTCTCTCTCTCTCTCTCTCTCTCTTCATATCGTTCTTTTTCCATCTTTCTCTTTTAATATCTCCCTCACTATAAGTTTCCTACTTTCTTTCTCACTCTTTCTCTATCTCTCGCTTCATATCTCTCTTTTTCTTTGTATCTTTCTCCCTCTTTTAATATCGTCCTGTCTAGATTTCTCATCCTTTCTTCTTAACTTTTCTCTCTCTTTCTCTCTCTCTCTCTTTCTTAATATCCCTTTTTCTCTCTCTTTTTTACTATGCCTTCTCTCTTTCTTTCCATCTTTCACGCTATTCTAATATCTCCCTATTTTAACGTTCTCCCCCATTCTTTTTCTCTCACAGTCTCGCTTTCTTCATATCTGTTTTTCTTTCCATATTAGTCTCTCCTTTAATATACGCTATCTCTCTTTCTCGTTTTTTCTTCTGCTCGCTTTTTATATCACTCTTTCCATCTTTCTTTTTCTTTCTCTCTTTCTCTGTTTTTTCATCGCCCGGTGTAACTTCTGTATTTCTCGATCTATTTTCACTCCCTCTCTCTATCTTTTTTCAAATCGCTCTTTTTCCAAACATTCTACCTTTTTTTTTAATATCTCCCTATTCAAATGTCTCATTTTTCTCTCTCTCTCTCTTTATTAATATTCTTTTTCTTTTCTTTCTCTTCTCTTTTCATTCTTTCTCTTTTACAATACCCACACTTTCTTCTTTCCATCTCTCTCTCTCTCTTAATATCTCCCTATCTAATATTCTCCTTCTTTCTTTCTCCCTCTCTCTCTCTCTCATTGTTATTATCACTTTTTTCTTTCTATCATTCTCTCTCTTTTCCTGCACTCTCTTTCTTCTTTCCATTTGTCTCTCTCTTTTAATATCATCCTATCCAACTTTCTCCATCTTTAGTTCTCACTCTCTCTCTATCTGTCTCTCACTTCTCATCCCTTTTTTCTTTCCATCATTCTCTCTCTTTTTCTATACCCTCTCTTTCTTCTTTCCATTTCTCTCTTTCTCTTATAATATCACCCTGTCTAACGTTCTCCTGCATCCTCTCTCATTCATAATCTCTCTTTTTCTCACACTTTCTGTCTCTTTTTTTTCTTTCTCTATTTTTCTGTCTTTTAATCTTCCGATCTAAAGTCTATATTACTCGATTCCTTTCTCTCTTTCTTCCTCTGTCCCTTCGTATCTCTCTTTTCTCCGATCTTTCTCCCTCTTTTAATATATCCCTATCTGACTTTCTCCTTTTCTTTCTCTCTCTTTCGCTCTTATATTTTCTTTCTATTAATCTCTGTCTCCTTTCTTCCTTTCCACTTCTTCCCGTCCCTATCTCTCTTTTTTCTTTTCATTTTTTTCGCTATTTTAATATATTCTTATCGTTCTTTTTCTATTTCTCCCGGTCTTTTTCCACATTTCTCTCTCTTTTAATATCTTTCTATCATTCTCCTTCTTATCTTCTCTTTCTATTTCTTTATACACCTTTTTTCTTTCCACCACTCTCTCTCTTTTATTATCCCCACTCTCTTTCGCCTTTCTATGTTTCTCTCTCTTATAACATCTCCCTATCTAACATTCTCCTACATTTTTTCTCCTTCAGACTCTCACTTTCTTCATGTCTCTTTGTATTTTCACATTTCTCTCTCTTTTAATATTTACGTTTCTAAGTTTATCATCCCTATTTCTCACTCTTTATCTTTCTTAATATCTCTCTTTTTTCCATCATTCTCCCTCTTTTACTTTACTCTCTCTTTCTTCTTTCATTCCATCATTCTCTCTCTTTACTTTATTCTCTCTTTCTTCTTTCTTTCCATCATTCTCTCTCTTTAACTTTACTCTCTCTTTCTTCTTTCTTTCCATCATTCTCTCTCTTTAACTTTACTCTCTCATTCTTCTTTCTTTCCATCATTCTCGCTCTTTTACTTTACTCTCTCTTTCTTCTTTCTTTCCATCATTCTCTCTCTTTAACTTTACTCTCTCTTTCTTCTTTATTTCCATCATTCTCTCTCTTTTACTTTACTCTCTCTTTCTTCTTTCTTTCCATCATTCTCTGTCTTTAACTTTACTCTCTCTTTCCATCATTCTCTCTCTTTTACTTTACTCACTCTTTCTTCTTTCTTTCCATCATCCTCTCTCTTTAACTTTACTATCTCTTTCTTCTTTCTTTCCGTCATTCTCTCTCTTTAACTTTACTCTTTCTTTCCATCATTCTCTCTCCTTTACTTTTTCCTCTTTTCTTCTTTCTTTCCATCATCCTCTCTCTTTTACTTTTCTCTCTCTTTCTTCTTTCTTTCCATCATCCTCTCTCTTTAACTTTACTATCTCTTTCTTCTTTCTTTCCGTCATTCTCTCTCTTTAACTTTACTCTTTCTTCCCATCATTCTCTCTCTTTTACTTTACTCTCTCTTTCTTCTTTCTTTCCATCATTCTCTCTCTTTTACTTTACTCTCTCTTTCTTCTTTCTTTCCATCATCCTCTCTCTTTTACTTTACTATCTCTTTCTTCTTTCTTTCCGTCATTCTCTCTCTTTAACTTTACTCTCTCTTTCTTCTTTCTTTCCATCATTCTCTCTCTTTAACTTTACTCTCTCTTTCTTCTTTCTTTCCGTCATTCTCTCTCTTTAACTTTACTCTTTCTTCCCATCATCCTCTCTCTTTTACTTTACTCTCTCTTTCTTCTTTGTTTCCATCATCCTCTCTCTTTAACTTTACTATTTCTTTCTTCTTTCTTTCCGTCATTCTCTCTCTTTAACTTTACTCTTTCTTCCCATCATTCTCTCTCTTTTACTTTACACACTCTTTCTTCTTTCTTTCCATCATCCTCCCTCTTTTACTTTACTCTCTCTTTCTTCTTTCTTTCCATCATTCTCGCTCTTTTACTTTACTCTCTCTTTCTTCTATCTTTCCGTCATTCTCTGTCTTTAACTTTACTCTTTCTTTCTTCTTTCTTTCCGTTATTCTCTCTCTTTAACTTTACTCTCTCTTTCCATCATTCTCTCTCTTTAACTATACTCACTCTTTCTTCTTTCTTTCCATCATCCTCTCTCTTTTACATTACTCTCTCTTTCTTCTTTCTTTCCATCATTCTCTCTATTTAACTTTACTTTTTCTTTCCATCATTCTCCCTCTTTTACTTTACTCTCTCTTTCTTCTTTATTTCCATCATTCTCGCTCTTTAACTTTACTCTCTATTTCTTCTTTCTTTCCATCATTCTCCCTCTTTTACTTTACTCTCTCTTTCTACTTTCTTTCCATCATTCTCTCTATTTAACTTTACTTTTTCTTTCCATGATTCTCTCTCTTTTACTTTACTCTTTCTTTCTTCTTTCTTTCCATCATCCTCTCTCTTTAACTTTACTATCTCTTTCTTCTTTCTTTCTGTCATTCTCTCTCTTTAACTTTACTCTTTCTTCCCATCATTCTCTCTCTTTTACTTTACTCTCTCTTTCTTCTTTCTTTCCATCATTCTCCCTCTTTTACTTTACTCTCTCTTTCTTCTTTCTTTCCATCATTCTCGCTCTTTCAATTTACTCTCTCTTTCTTCTTTCTTTCCATCATTCTCTCTCTTTAACTTTACTCTCTCTTCTTCTTTCTTTCCATCATTCTCTCTTTTAACTTAATCTCTCTTTCCATCATTCTCTCTCTTTTACTTTACTCTCTCTTTCTTCTTTCTTTTCATCATCCTCTCTCTTTTCACTTTACTATCTTTTCTTCTCTCTTTCCGTCATTCTCTCTCTTTCATTCTTTATCTTTCTTTCTCCATCTTTCTCTCTCTTTTTTTACTTTCTCTCTTTCTTCTTTCTTTTCCATCATTCTCTCTCTTTTACTTTTCTCTCTCTTTCTTCTTTCTTTCCATCATCCTCTCTCTTTTTTTTTACTTTCTCTTTCTTCTTTCTTTCCGTCTCTCTCTCTCTTTTCTTTCTCTTTTTTCTTTTTCTTTCCATTTCTCTCTTTCTTTTACTTTACTCTCTCTTTCCATCATTCTCTCTCTTTTTTCTTTACTCTCTCTTTCTTCTTTCTTTCCATCATTCTCTCTCTTTTACTTCTCTCTCTCTTTCTTCTTTTCTTTCTTTTCATTCTCTCTTTTTCTTCTTTCTTTCTTTCTTCTTTTTACTTTCTCTCTTTCTCTCTCTTCTTTTACTTTCTCTCTCTTTCTTCTTTCTTTCCATCATTCTCTCTTTTAACTTTACTCTCTCTTTTCTTCTTTCTTTCCTCTTCTCTTTCTTTAACTTTACTCTTTTCTTCCTTTCCATCATTCTCTCTCTTTTACTTCTCTTTCTCTCTTTCCATTTCTCTCTTTTTTTCTTTCTTTCTCTCTTTTCTTCTTTCTTTCCATCATTCTCTGTCTTTTCTTTCTTTCTTTTTCCATCATTCTCTCTCTTTTACTTTCTTTCTCTTTCTTCTTTCTTTCCATCATTCTCTCTCTTTTTTTTACTCTCTCTTTCTTCTTTCTTTCCATCATTCTCTCTCTTTAACTTTACTTTCTTTCTTTCCATCATTCTCTCTCCTTTTTTACTTTTCTTTCTTTTTTCTTTCCATCATTCTCTCTCTTTTTCTTTCTCTCTCTTTCTTCTTTCTTTCCATCATTCTCTCTTTTAACTTTACTATCTCTTTCTTCTTTTTCTTTCTTTTTTCTCTCTCTTTAACTTTATTCTTTCTTTCCCATCATTCTCTCTCTTTTTTTACTTTCTCTTTCTTCTTTCTTTCCATCATTCTCTCTCTTTTACTTTACTCTCTTTTCTTCTTTCTTTCCATCATTTCTCTTCTGATCTTTTTTCTTTCTTTCTTTCTTTCTCTCTCTTTTACTTTTTTCTCTCTCTTTCTTCTTTCTTCTGATTTTTTCTCTTTCTTTTCTTTTTTCTCTTTCTTTCTTTCTTCTTTCTTTTTCTTTCTCTCTTTTTCTTCTTTTCTTCTTCCCTTCTTTCTTTCTTCTCTTTTTCTTTTTTCTCTTTCTTTTTTCTTTCTTTTCCATCATTCTTCTCTCTTTAACTTTATCTTTCTTTCTTTCTTCTTTTTTTTTCTTTCTTCTCTCTTTTTCTTTCTTTCTCTTTCTTCTTTTCTTCTTTCTTTCCTTTCTTTCTTTTTCTTTCTTTCTTTCTTCTTTTCTTCATTCTTTTTCTTTCTTTCTTCTTTCTTTCCATCATTCTCTTTCTTTCTTTCTTTCTTTCTTTCTTTCTTTCTTTCTTTCTCTCATTTTTTCTTTTTTTCTTTTCTTTTCTTTCTTCTTTCTTCTTTTTTTCTTTCTTTTTTCTTTCTTCTCTCTTTCTTCTTCTCTTTTCTTCTTTCTCTTTCTTTTCTTTCTTTTCTTTCTTCTTTCTTTCCATCATTCTCTCTTTTTTTTCTTTCTCTTTTTTCTTTTTCTTTCCATCTTTCTTTCTTTCTTTTTTTCTTTCCATCTTCTCTTTCTTTTTTTTTTCTTTCTTTCTTTTTCTTTTTTCTTTCTTTCTTTTTCTTTTTCTTTCTCTTTTTTTTTCTTTTTTTCTTTCTCTCTCTTTTTCTTTCTTTCTCTCTTTCTTCTTTCTTTCCATCTTTCTCTCTTTTTTCTTTTTCTTTTCTTTTCCATGATTCTCTCTTTTTTTTTTTCTTTCTTTCTTTTCTTTTTTCTTTCTTTCATTCTCTCTTCTTTTTTTTCTTTCTCTTTCTTCTTTCTTTCTTTTTTTTTTGCTTTCTTTCTTCTTTTTCTTTTTCCTCTTTTTTTACCATTTTCTTTTTTTCTTTTTTTCTTTCTTTCTTTCTTTCTTTCCATCATTTTTCTTTTTTTTTTTTTTTCTTTTTTCTTTCTTTTCTTTTTCTTCTTCTTTCTTTTTCCTTTCTTTCTTCTTTCTTTTACTTTCTTTTTCTTTCTTTCTCTCTTTTTTTTTCTTTCTTTCTTTCTTTCTTCTTTCTTTCTTTCATCTTTCTCTTCTTTCTTTTTCTCTCTTTCTTTTTCTCTCTTTCTTTTTTCTTTCTCTTTCTTTTCTTTCTTTCATTCTCTCTTTTTTTTCTTTTTTTTCTTTCTTTCTTCTTGTTTCCATCTTTCTCTCTCTTTTACTTTTCTTTCTTTCATTCTCTCTCTTTTTTCTTCTCTTTTCTTTCTTTCTTTCTTTCTTCTTCTTTTTATCTTTCTTTTTTCTTTTCTTCTCTTTCTTTCCATCTTTCTCTCTCTTTTTTCTTTCTTTTCTTTTCTTCTTTCTTTCCATCATTCTTTCTTTTTTCTTTTTTCTTTCTTTTCTTTCTTTCTTTCTTTTCTCTCTTTCTTCTTTCTTTCCATCATTCTCTTTCTTTTCTTTCTTCTTTTTCTTTCCATTTTTTCTCTCTTTTTCTTTTTTTTTTCTCTCTTTCTTCTTTCTTTCTTTCATTCTCTCTTTTTCTTTCTTTTTTCTTTCCATCATTCTCTTCTTTTTACTTTTCTTTCTTTTCTTCTTTCTTTCCATCTTTTCTTCTTTTTTTCTTTTACTCTTTTTCTTTTTTCTCTTTTTCTCTTTCTTTCTTTCTTTCTTTTTTTTCTTTCTTTTTCTTTCTTTTCCATTCTTTCTCTCTTTTCTTTTACTTTCTCTTTCTTCTTTCTTTCCATCATTCTCCCTCTTTTTCTTTTCTCTCTTTTTTCTTCTTGATTTCTTTCTTTTCTTTACTTTCTTTCTTTCTTCTTTCTTTCTTTTCATTCTCTTCTTTTACTTTTTTTCTCTTTCTTTTCTTTCTTTCTCTTTCTTCTTCTTTTCTATTTTTTTCTTCTTTCTTTCTTTCTTTTTTCTTTCTTTCTTTCTTTCTTCTTTCTTTCTTTATTTCTCTCTTTTTTTTTTTTCTTTCTTTCTTTCTTTCTTTCCATCTTTCTTCTCTTTTTTTTCTTTTCTTTCCATCATTCTCTCTTTTTTTCTTTTTTTCTTTCTTTTCTTTCTTTCTTTTCATCATTCTTTCTCCCTTTTTTATTTCTTTCTTTTTCTTTCTTTTCTCTTTCTTTTCTTTTCTTTCTTTCTTTCTTTCTTTCTTTCTATCATTTCTTTCTTTTTTTTCTTTCTTTCTTTTTCTTTCTTTCTTTTCTTTTTTTCTTTTTCTTTCTTTCTTTATTTTCTTTCATTCTATCT